ATTACAACAATCCAAAGGATCCAAAATAACACCAAGGAGAACAATTTTTAATTAAACAAGCATCTATGTTCCATTTAATTATATATAGCTCTAAGTATCATTTAATGGCTGGTGTTGAACTGCCCCTTAAATTTGAAAATGTTTGGTGGTGTATTAGTGAGCATTTCAAATTAATCTCATCTCACTGGGACATTAGGCTTTTTAATAAGTGCCTGCTGCTTATTTAATGAGAAAATGTTCTAGGTGAGTATCTTCAATATCTAAAAGAAAACATATTTTTAAAAGAAGCTTTAATATCTGAGTTCTAAAACATCAATGTATGACATGAGATCAAGGCAGACAGGAATCTGTCCTCTACTGTATCCTCCAAGATGGAAGGTATTTAGTCACATGAAATTGATATGAGACACAACTAGGCACAAAAGCATTTCTGAGCATATGCTCATGCTTAAGCAGGATATGATAGGCTCCTCATAAAAGGGGTCTTCTCTTCTACTTAGTGTTCATAGCTTTACGTCTCTGAAACACTGGCTTCTCTTCACTTTGCATTCTCTCAGAGCTACATTTCCTTCACGCCCCCGGCATGGACATCAGCCCTCCCTCCCCGTTTGAGGTACTTGCTCACCATGACAACAATCAGTCCACTGGCTTTCAGCTTTCACTGCTTTCCTTCACTGCACTTTTGTTTCTCTTCCCTGGGATGCAGTTTCCCATTCATCTACCAGGGGAACACTTTTCCTAATGTAATCCAGCAGCCCAAGCTGCCTTCCCTTATACTGCTGTCACACACCTTTCTACTAAGCCTACATCACAGTCGAGTTAACCAATGACAAAAGTTTGCAACATAAATATGGAAAAAAAAAACTAACCATCTGACTTCTACTGAGGATGTAGAAAGCTGGAAAGAGCATTGCTCCAACCCTTACAACAACAAAATAATACAAGTTAATCTAAAAAATCACAATTTTTCTTGAACCCATCAGAGTTAAGTTCACAGGAAAACCAATTAATCTGAAATCTGAAGAAAGACCAGTGCCTTCAAGGACAGGCAGAGCTGGAGCCTGCTTACCTGGGGAAAATCCCCAGCAGGATACAAGCCAGGTAAGAATTCAGCTAAACTTAAAATGAACTGCTAAAGGCCATATGTGAACTAGTGTGAAAGTACAGAATTCCTGGGAAGCACAAGAAGAATTCAAACTCACTTGGAGGCTCTTCTCCAAAGACCCAGGACTCAGGAGAAAAGACTGGGGATAGGTAGGAGAAGAACCTTCAAAACAACCTCTCAGAGGAAGTGTAAGGAGGGTAGGGATAGCAACCACCAATGGGAAGGCATGAAGCTGAAGCACAGCTGAGATTCTTCAACTCCACCTGCCCTAGAGAACAGAAGCCCTGAGGTGCTGAAGGATGGCAGCAAACTTGGATGGCTTTAGAGCACAAATAAAGTCCCACCACAGCTGGAGGAAGGAAAAAGAAAAACCCTCTATCCTAGTGGAGGCAGGAATGTATTAGGAGCCCAGATTATTACAGGCCTCCTAAAGCTGGGGGAAAAGGTCACCCCCAGTCACAGAGCCTGCCTAAGACTGATATGAAGGTAACAAAGGAAAGACTTATCGCTAAGGGTGGAACAGATACTGGAGGAAAGCAAGCACACACCTGTGGGAAACCAGCCCCACCTTCAACACAAAGTAACCCTAGGGGGATCTGAAGCCTGCGGTGCACTGAGCAAATTAACAGAAACAACAAAAAGGCAAAGCCATTCAACTCCTGGGTATACTGACTCAACCCTTCCCCTGCTCCACTTAAGTCCTAGCAAAAACCAAGATCAGGGCCTGTGCGGGACAAATACTATTCATCTCACTCTTTACTGTCCTAAACACGGTGTTCCAACATCCAACAAAAACAAACAAGGCACACAAAAAGCAAGCAAGCAAGAAGCAACCTATTATCAGGAAACAAAGCAAACATCATAAGCAGAATAAAAGACCCAGGTATTGAAACTATCAGGTAGGGAGTTTAAGATAACAATGATATATGCAGGTTCTCATGGGAAAACTGCAAGACAACATACAAGAACAGATGGGGAATTTCATCAAAGAGATAGAAACTAGAAGGAAGAAACTCAAATACAAATGCTGCAAACCAAAAACATGGTAACAGAGATGAAGTGAGTTCATAACAGCTCATCAGTGAACTCAACACAGCCAAGGAAACAATGAACCTAAAAATTGATTAATAAAAAATACTTACAATGAACATAAAGAGAAAAAAACAAGGGAAAAAAAATAGAACACCAAACTAGAATAGTGAGAAGTTTTCAACTGGAATTGAATGTACATCCAATTGGAATTCTAGAAAGAGTAGAAAAAGAAATTGGGGCAGAGGAAATATTTGAATAGAAAATGTCTAAGAATTTTCCAAAACTGATGGCAGGCATCAAACCAGAGGTCCAAGATGTATAGAGTACACTAAATAGAATAAGTATTAAATAAAACATGTCTAGACATTACCTAATAAAACCACTGAAAACCAAAAACAAAGGGAAAATCTTGAAGGTGGCCACAGGGAAAAAAATAAATAACAGACAGGCTCAAAAGATACAAATAATAGTAGAGCTCTGAAACTATGGAAATAGAAGGCAAAGTGTGACATAAAGTATTAAAAGAAAAAAAAACAATGAAACAAAATTCTATACCTACTGAAAATACCTTTCAAAACTGAAACAGAAATAAAGATTTTTTTTAGGCAAACAAAAGCTGGGGAAATTCGATGCCAACAGACTTGAAATCCAATGTACATTAAAGGAAGTTCTTTAGGCAGAGGAATACACTAGACAAAAAGCTCAATCTCCAAAAAGAAATGAAAAACACTGGAAGTGTGAAATTCATTTTTAATTATTTTTATTGCTGTAAAAAACAACAGACTACCCATAGCAAAAATAGTAGCAATGTACCATGTGTTTACAGTGCAGTAAAAGTAAAATGTGTGACAACAGTGGGAAAGAAGTATTGGAGGTATCCTGTTTTAAGGAATTTCTACTATATGTGAAGTGGTATATTATTTGAAGGTAAGACTGTCTATTAAAGATGTATAGTTTAAACCCAGGGTAATCACTAAAAAAAAAAAAAGGCATAAGAGATACAAATCACAAGTGAATAATGAAGATAAAATACAATTTAAAAATACTAAATCTAAAAAGCAGCAGAGAAAGAACAAGAATACATAAAATCTAGGAAGAAGGTATATGTTAATCCAACCATACTGAATGACATTAAATATAATATATTTAAAAAAAACTGAAAAGACAGAATTAGTCAGATAGGATATGAAGTAAGACCTAATTGTATGTGTCTAAAAAAATCCACTTTAAATGTAAAAAAATAGGTAAGGAGATTATAGGTAAATAGGTAGTATGGAAAAAGATAAGATATGCAAACTCTAGTCAAAAGAAAGCTGGAGTAGCTGCATTATTTCAGAGATATATATTACCAAGGATAAAAAAGGGACATTAATAAAAATGATCAACATCTACATGAAATACATCTATATACCCACTAGAATAAACATCATTTAAAAACAAAAAACTTGACAATATCGAGCATTGATAAGGATACAACTGGGACGTTCATACAATGCTGATGGTAATGAAAATGATACAGCTGCTTTGAAACTGACAATTTGGAAATTTCTTATAAAGTTAAACATAGACCCAGAAATCCCACCCCTAGGCATTTTACCCTTTAAAATAAAATTTTACACAAAAGTCGATACATGAATGTTTAGTGACTTTATTTGTAATCACCAAAACCTGAAAACAACCCAAATCGTCCCTCCACTGGGGAATGGATGAACTATGGTACATCTACGCAAAATAATATTTCTCAGCAAAAGGAAAGGAGCTTCTAATACATCCAACATGGATACATCTCAAATGTAAATGCACATGTCAAAGAAGCCAGATTAAAAATGCTACATATCATATCATTCCAAAAACATATTAGCAGTTGTCAGGGCTGAAAATGGAAGGAACTGACAAAGGAGTATGGGGGAATTTTTGGAGCAATGAGGTATTTCCTGATTTTTTTATGGTAATGGTGGTTATATATTTGTTTGTTTTTGTCAGAATTGTACACTAAAAATGGATGAATTTTACTAGATGTAAATTATAGCTTAACTTTAAGTAAAGGGAAAAAAATCACACACTTTTATTTAAGACATTTCAAGCTTACCTCATTTAAAATTAACTAGACTTTCTTAAATCTTTATGACATCTTGGCAACCCTTCCTCTACCAGAAATACACTGATATTGACCTTATTGAAAATAAAAATAATTACTGGAGTACAGCAATGGCTAAAATGAGTCTTTAGCATGGTAGACCTGATTCTTAAAAACATTCCAAGGCTCTCTATTTTGCAGGGTTGGGGTTAAGACTTGTATCCTGCAATGCTTCCACACTTTATTTCAACAATGTAAAGTTTAGTATCTATGATCTCTCCTTCTGGGAAGCTGGAATTAACAGGTTGTGACAGGGAAGATGTGACAGAAATGTTTAAATTTGTATTCCATCTTACAACTTCTGACTTCCACACAAGAAAAATGTAGACAGTAATGTCAACAGGAAAAGATGGATAACTGTGTTCATGTTAACTAAACCAGATACTAAAAAATAATTATGACATATCATCCAAAATGGGCTCTAACTTCAATTTCAAAATGTCTAGGACTTCCTAGTATTAGTTAAATGTCCTCTTGGTAATGCAATAAAAAAAATTTTTTTAAGAAAAAGGTCTTACTTATTCAAAGGAGTTAACAAAGAATGACACAAATGAAAACAAGAAAGCATTTTGACCTTTGATGAAGAAGTATAATCCATTCAACAAGTATCTAAATGCCAACTATATACTAATCATAGCTTAGTATCCAATGTTGAACAAACAATACTAGCAAAATGCTATTTTTTAACAAATAACATACTTCTGGTTTTTTACACAGTATATTTACCTCAAAGCCAAGTCTATCCTTTTCTTTCCAAAAACAAAAATGTGTTACTTTCTTATCCCAGAATTCATCTGGCTTCACTACACAAACAAGGGACACCTCAGCTGGAACAACATTCTATAAAATACAGAAGAATAATTACAAATTATACATTTAAAATGAATAATTCGTTATGGTTATAAATCCTAGATATTCATAATTGGACTGAGTAATTAAGAGACCTTTGGAAAAGAATTAAAATAATATACAAGAAATACTCCAAACTTCAAAACATACATGTCAATAAAAAAATACTTGAAATATAAACTGATTCAGAAAAGATTTTACAGAAACAGTGTAATACAGATGGTACACGTGAATTATTTTTCTGTTTTACTGAATTTCTCTAATAGGAATATGTTTATATTAGGCTGAATGTTGATTTTTAGTTGAGAAATTATTAAATTTGGTTTTTCTATGATATGAAAAAATTTTTTTCTAACAATCATCTTGGGGGATTTCTTCAAATAATGCAAAATCAGTTTTCTCACAAAATAAGTTTTTCTTATCAGCCATTATACAAAGTAGCTAAGATTCTGCATGATTATCAACTTGAAAAAGACAAAGCTTAAAAACACAATTTCACATTTATTAGCTATGATTATTCCTATTACCTAAAGAAGGATGGAAACGAACATTTACAGAGTTACATTTTTATCAGAAAGCCCCAAAGAGTTGATCTTTAAAATATACCTTCAATCTACTTATTTCTCCTACCTGCTTTGCTAATGTCCCCAATTACCCAGCCTTCTGAAATATCCCCTTAACAGACTTCCCTGCTTCACGTTTTCTTTCTCATACTCAGAGTAAAACTCAAACCCCTTACTCAGGCCAAGAAGGCCCTCCAAGCTTAGGTCCCCACTGATCTCGCAGACTTCATCTCACAGCTGATTCCTCTACCACAGCCATACCGACCTTCTTGCTGCTCCTGGAATGTGACAAGTCCATTCCCACCCCAGGACTTTGCCCTTGATGTTTCCTTTGTCTGGAATGTTCTTTGTCTTATACTTAGGAAGACTGCTTCCTCAGTTTATTCACAATTTTACTCAAATTGTCCCTCTGCAAGAGAGAATTTCCTTGACCGCTATACAGTAGCACCATTTGGCTCAGTCTCCTTTTACCACTGTATTTTTCCTCATTAGCATTTATCATTATCTGATGTTACATTATTAAGTAAGTTATGTAACTGCTTACTTCCTGGCTCCTCAAGTAGACTATAAGCTTCCCAATGGCAAGAACCTTATTTATTTATCATGTCACTCCTGTATCTCCCATGCTTATGACAGTCTTGGCATACAGAGACACTCCATATATATTTGTTGAATAAATGAATTCACATTAGCAGGCAGATCACATCCTCCCAACTACAGAAGAGTTAACTGAGCTTCAGAGACCTCAAATAACTTGCCCAAGATAACAGAGTTGTTAAGTGAAGGCACTGGAATAGAAGCCAGGCCTAACTCTTAAAAGTTCTACCACACAATTTCAAATGTTCTACTAGGGGTCAATAAATTCTTTCTGAAGGTGCAAATAATAAATATTTGAGGCTTTGCAGGCTATACAGTCTCTTCAATTCTGTCACTGTAGTGCAAAATGAGCCATAAACAATATGTAAATGAATGGCTGTGCTTTAGTTTCAATAAAACTGTACAAGCTCTAGGAGCAAATCACTGTTCTAAGCCATAAATGGCACGACTGAATAGTAATGAATTAAGAATAATTATTATTATTAATTAGAGGGAAATAGAAACCTTTCAATTGAAACATGTCATTAGGCATGTCACAAATCTAGTGCCCCCTGCAATGACTGAGTTGTGAATAAAGTAAGTAACATAAATTCAACAGTATCAAAACTTTTATTAGAGGGGCTGGGAAATGTAGAGGAAATTCAGAATTTGTAGAAGATCATTATTTCAAAATCATTGGATATTAAGGCTGTGAGAAACAGGAGAAACTGAGCTACTCATTTTAGAAACTATCAGTTACATAGGCAGAGACAGCACTAAGCTCTGGGCTCCCAAACAACTGGTACCAGTACCTTCTGAAATAAAAGCAATCAATGACTTTGTATGTAGGACAACTGTTTGATTAGGAGTAAACAACAGGCCATTTACAAATTCTGAAAATGCTAACTTTTAATAAATCCCGAAGTGTTAAAATACCTATCAGAAAAGAAATTGCAAGAGAGAATTGAATCATCCTTTTAAAACTGCCACTGATCAAAGCCTAGTTCAAACAGCAAGTCCCAAAAAACTCATCTGTGACACAGGTGAATGATGGGATGAAAACAAGGCCACAAGGTCCTAATTAATGAATTTGTTACCTAATAGTTATTTTAACAACTTTTACAGAGAAGGTCAATCTTCAGGGTTTAGAATATAAATGGGCTGGGAACATATTTGACAGTAAAAGTTATTACAGGACACCAGCATGTGCTCCCTTAAAAACTGATCCTCTGAAGGCTATGTCCTTTCCAACCCAAAAAAGGAATTTCAATGATGAAAATTTAGGCCTAACATTGAAGAATGCTGTAATGTTTGGGACGTCCTTAGATGCAGCCTATTGGTAAATACATACTTTGTAAAGGATAAAGCCAAGACCTGGGGCCTAGGCTAAGCTAAGTTCCAACCACAGCCCTTTCCCACATTCACTATGAGAACCTGGCTAAGAGTCTCAGATGACCTTTTGAGATAATAGAACCTGCTTCCTAAGGTCATGAAGATAAAAATTATATGAAATAATTTATAAAGCAAGATAATTTATATACAAAAGTACAGCACCCAAACTACATTAAGCACTAAAACTAAAAACTAAAATTACCAGCCCACTTTTCTCAAATCCCTTTTTCCTAATTGTCCCAAAAGATAAAACATTAAGAATCATTGTTAGTTATCATTTAAATTTTTAAATTTTTTTTCCTTTCCACAGAATCCTAAAGCAGCTACCAATTATTTCCCAATTCATTAAAAATTCTTGATCTTTCTTTCAACATCACTGATACTTAAGTGAATGTTCACTATCCCATGTAAATGCCAAATTTATATTTCCCTCAAATTAGCCTGTCATCAACTCTCTTCCCTGTATTTGGTTTGTTTCTGAGTTATCATGGAGTCAGTGTCCCTTCCAGGAATGCCCTTTTCACTTTCTTTCATTTAAATCAGACAAACTCTTTCATTTAACTCAACTTTTACCTCCTCTTAAAGATCGTCTATGGAATCCCAGGTACCCGAGAGCAATCTGGTCCTTTTCAATCCCTCAAATGTTTTATTTTTCCATTTTGGATCACAATATGCTCAATACTCTTAGAATAAACCTAGTACAGACAAGAGATCATGGAAACATTCTGTGAGGAACACAAGGAAATATATAACATAAAATTAGGATCGGATCAGAGACTTTGTAATTACAGCTGCTCATTAAATCCTCATTTGCGACCTATGAAAGTCCCTAGGAACACAGCTTAGGTCAAATGAATTTCTTATGGATTAAAAATAAATAATAAGACCATCATGAATTCTGGTGTTTCTTAGAGGAAAGAGGGGAACCAAAACAGAGAGACCTATCAGAACTGCCTGAGCAGCTTTTTCAGACTAGCCTTACCCAGAACTATCCCTACCTGTCCTAGCAGAATGAGGTGGCGGTGGATGATGCAGATAAAAGCTCCCAGGTAAGTCTGACAACATTTGCCTTCACACTTTCAGACTCACTAGCCTACTTGCTTAAATTTCTTAAACATGACATACTATTTCCTGACATTTACAAACCTTTAGAATAGGGCTGGAATTTATTTTACTATTTTAAGTCAAACCTGAAAGAACTGAATTTAAACAAACCAAAAGAACTAATGCTTTTTTAGAACTAAGTCACTGCTGAGAAGATTGGGCACAGTCCAATAAATGAGATGCATTTGCCATCATCACCTCATTTGTTAGCATAAAATAAAACCATTTCCTGATAGTCAAAAATAAAATTACCTGTAGCATTAAAACTACTGTTTTCACCACATTCCACTGTGATTTTCTGCCATCCACAATCACGGTAAATCCTCTAGCCTTACACTTTTCACTGAAACAAAATAAAATTACAAAGTATTAAAACAAGCTTCATATTTTATTCCTTATTATCCTAAATAAAGTTTCCATCTTAATCATTTATGGAGCAGCGTTAACCTCACTTGCTTTGGTTTACATTGTCAATAAATTAAATTCTCCAGAATATCCTTTCAGTTTTCTAAAGCAATTAATTTTTCTCATTTCAGGAAATATTGACAATTTATAAGCTAATCTGGCAAGAAATTACTCTAAAAGCACAGACAGTCAGTGTCTTAAAAAGAGAAGAAATCAAAGCCCCTCAATCTCTTTACCTGTAAAACTGGATCAGAGTGAAACAGGTTAACTAATGACCATCAAGTGACCTCCGTACTTCTTGTTTCTCCCTCCTGCCCTAAGTGCAAGGTTTGTGAAGTGACAGTTTAAAACAGGTAAAAAACTATATAAACTATTATTGAACCATTGGAAATGGACTTCTTAGGGCTTTTGGGGAAAATTTAATGATATGAGTTACCATCTGACGTACATAATAATTCAAAGTTTGAAGGCACCGTGTTTGATCCATCCCTGTTCTCCCTTTTGCATTTTCGGTCACTTAGCCAGCAAATACTATCTTGAGTGCTGGACTGTGTTATTGCTATATATTATATTCAATTGTTCAAGTACTGACTAAACAATTTCCAGAAGCCTACCCCAGAAAAATTCAAAACTACATGGAAAACCCCATCCTAAAGACCAAAGCTATGTATCATCATCACCACCATCATCATTTTACTTACAAAATTAGCTCAGTACAATGATTTCAACTGCCCTCTCTCCAATACAATGGAAGAAACTACAGCTTTGCTTAGCCAAGCAAGTATTTGGTAGTGAAAACTCCCAACTCAATGTTCTCACCATTGCATACATTGTAGGAAAAGTAAATAGCAGAACCCTTCCTCAGATTTAAATCCAACAGTCCAGGGAATTTTACTAATTCTCCTCCTCTGCTCCCTCTAAGCACTCACATTAGCCTCAAGAGGGTTCTTGGAGAAGTTGTGTCCAATTCTACTGAAAAACAGTAAGGTCACAGAATGAGGATGATATTGCTAAAGACTTGGAAGAACAGGCACTGCTGTATACAGGGACAGAAGCAGACCTTCCAAGAAAACAGAGAAGTGTTCAAGAGGTGACGCAAACTGAAACATATGTCCACACTTGCAAACAAATGTTCATAGCATAATTCACAATTGCCAAAATAGAAACAACCCAAATGTCCATCAACTGATGAACAGAAAAATAAAATATGGCAATCTGCACAATGGAATATTATTCAATCACAAAAAGGAATGAAGAACTGATATATTCTACAACACAGACAGACCTTGAAAACACTATGCTAAGTGAAAGAAGCCAGACACAAAAGCCCACATACTATATAGTTCTATTTATACGAAAAGGTGGGTACAGGGTCTCTTTTTGAGCTGATGAAAATGCTCTGGAATTAGAGGGTGTGATGGTCACACAATCTTGTGAATATACTTAGAAGTATTGCATTAGATCCTTCAAAGGGTGATGTTTAAAGTTATGGAATTACATCTCAGTTTTTAAAAAGTTTATTCTATTTTTGACTTTTGCATTATAAAATAAGGAATCCACAAAGTATTCTTTGGAGGGGAAAAAAAGGTGAGGCAATATAATGGATCACTTCTAGATCAACAACAATGTACAGAGACTTGCTAGGGAGAAGCAAATCTGACATGTAACTGACAGTTGTAGGATCAGGCAAGGAGGAAATTTCCAGAGTTCCCACCAACAACACATCTAGGAGGTCCACTATGACTTGTCGGGGATACAAGTCCAAGACCGGCCATCCTGGTAGGGTAGCTGGCTGTGGAGTAGTCCTCAGAGAAGGAAGTGAGACCAACTCAGCGACTCTATCAACACATTACGGAAAATTGCAGGAGGGGAGCTAAGACACACAACTGCCCAGTGGAGGGCCTTTGCTGGTTGGGACTATAGCCGAGAATAGTGTGTTGTCCCCACAAGTTGGTACTTTCTTGTCACTGGGACTTGCATCTCAGAGATACAGCTTACACAACAATTTTGTTAAAGAAGTTTTACACAAACAACACATTTATATTTCAAAGCACACTCTAAATTAATCTGTTTATATTAAGACAAGGAAAGTAATGAAGCTTGCAAATACCATGTGCAAAATCTTAAGGGTATAACACTCTGAATTTATCTTTTAGGGTATTTACAATACCCTTAATCATAATTTTCTCACATTTTACTAAGATAATGAAAATACACACAATCCAAAGATAAAATTTGAAAATTACAAGACCAAGGGATCTTTCAACTACTCAAAACAAATTTTTTTTTTTTTTTACTTCATTCCTACAAGTGGAATGATGGTTTGAAATGTTCTTAACAATATACTTAATTGAGGATTATGTTATGTCCTTTATAAAGGACATGACAGAGGAGCTTAAGTGCTATATAAATAAATTCCTATATTACTACTAACATACTGATAATTATATTTTAGGAATAATCAAAAAAAATATTAAGACTCGTCCGCCTTGTTCCTGCTCTATTAGAGCCTTTCAATGATGAAGTGCTGAGTTAAAATAGTTATCAAGGGGAGAGGCTTCTTAACAAGCTCCTTGACTTTGACTAGAAAGAGACTGTCAATGGATTTCCTGGGTTCAATATTCTGTAGCTCTTCACTAATTTCTTAGTTCCTTATCTTCCAAACACAGAGTTCTGCTTATACTTACATAATTACACTAATTTCACTTATGCTTTTATTATAATTACTTGTTTACAATTTATCTTTATTAGATAACATGCTTTCAGAAAGCAAGAATATTATCCTACTGTTCTCCCATTTCCTCAGCTCCTAGAATAGTGAGGAGCTAATTGTAGGAACTACCATATTTAATGAGTGACTCAAGACTTATGACCTTAATGTATGTGTGAGTTTTGGCAAGTCATTAAATCTCTGTGTTCTGATGTTTCTTTTGCAACAGAAGTGAGTTTTTCTACAATTAAGAAGAATTGAACTGAAATATAAATTTAAATTTCTAATAAAATCACAACTTGAGAAAACTGGAAAGGTGACTTCTGTAGATGGTGAATTTCTACCAAATCAAGAATCATCTGATTAATATTAATCTGGACAAGAACTTGGCAGCATTTCTATATAGAGGACGTAAGTTTGGGTAAAGTGGTTAGTCTAGATTAAGGTACTTTCCAATCCTGACATTCCACGATTGTAAAATTGGATGATCAGTAAGTTCCCTTTGAGCTAGGAAATGTTATGATTTTAAAAATACACTGACTATACTGTTGAAAAAAATGTTAAAACAAACAAAAAAAAGATTTTCAAGATTTCTTTTATAATACTATATTCACCAGCTATTTTCATGTCAATTATCAATGTGATAGATCCAGGTTAAGTGTGAACAAATACTGAAAGTTATTGATATATGTGGCACTGTCATTATAACAGAGACAGCTGCAACATAGTGATTAGGCTTGGAGTCAGACTGTCAGGTTCTAATTCCCCCTCCTGCCCTCATCTGCCACACGTTCTTGATCAAGATACCCAAACTGCCTATTCTTTTCATGCCTCAGTTCCCTCATATGTAAGATGGGGATAAGGATGATAGTACTCATCTTCAGGTTGTTATGAGAATTAAATGACTTAATGTTCTTTTTATTTCCTTAAAATTAAGATTTTTTATTTTCGTTATGCCTTCCAATCATCATCCATTAGTGAATTTCTGGTTCCACTGTGAATTTAAACTAAAAAGAAAGCAATACCAGCCTAGACAAACTTCTTATCCAAAATAGCTTCTACTGAGCTGCCAACTTCTTTATGTTTGATTTTCCAACAATGTGTTAAGAGGCTCTGAGAATGGTCAGTACCAGGTGCAGTAAGCCTGCATTTGAGTACACTGAGCTCTGAAGACACTGAAGTAGTAAAATAAAGGGCAGAAACCCATATCCATTGACTACTGATCAATGACTAAGTATCACAGGGCTATGAAAATACAAATTGTAAGAAACAGTTTCTCCCTTCAAAGAGCTTAGGATCATTTAGAAAGGTGGGGAGAGAGTATTTTATTTTAATGTCTGTTATATTCATAGACATTAGACCTTAGTCAATGTTACTGTTAGGCAGAAAGACAGATATGAGTGGGATGAAAAGAGGGTGGGGTCAACCAAGAACTCAGGGAGTTAATCAGATAAAGCCAGAGAGCCAGAAAGGAGTCCCAGAGTTAATGCCCTTTTGTAATGTGAGTTCATTCCACATGCTCTGATTCTGGGCTGACCTTGAGATGTGCTCTAGCTAGTACAGGTAAGATAGAGATGTGAGACAAGCATCATGATTAACTTTTCCTGCCTGTGATGAAAAATGCTGAGATATAAACAATATAGTAGGAACAGGAGGGACTCCATCTTAAGGCTGTTTTCATTTAAAAAATCAGGGAGTTAGGAGGTAAGATTCCTAACATATTCTTTGGTAATCAGCCAACAACCTATCTTAAGGCAAGGCAAGCAGTCTTAACTGATATGTTTCCAGTGCTTGAGGATAATGAATATTTTGGAGAGGAACAGGATCAATAAATTCCTTGTGTTAAGTTTGTCTTACAGAATTATTTGTAGGACTGACTGTGGATGAGGGCATAGTGTCCCTCACTGGAGACAGACATCATGAGACCACAAGTCAGGCCTACACCCTCCCCCCCACAACCCTTTACCTTTATCCCATTTTTGAAAGCTTTAAAAAACAGAACCCTAAGCCCTAAGAGTGCCTCCTCTCTGAGGTTGCCTGCACTTGCCTTTCTTCAAGTGTGTCACATTCTCTGCCCTACTCCAGATAAGTAGGAAGGGGCTACTGAGAGCTCTGATTTATGTTTTCAAGTTTCTGTTACCTGTGTGACCCAAGTGGAACTGTGACTATACAATCATGCTCCTTAGCAGTCTGCCTGAAAATCTCTCTTCTTTGTCTTTACGAAGTTC